GACATATGTTACTGAGAGACCAGGAGGCAGACAGACTCATTGGTAGGTAAACAGATAGGGAGAGGGGCCATGGTTCGGTGATAAAGGTGGCACATTTCCAAGATGACCAGCTTCTTCCTCACCCTTCTGACTTGAGACAAAAGCCTGGAAGCTTCTGCTTCCCACCAGCAGGCCCCAACTGATGGACTGGCCCAACAAGTTCAAGGCCTAGTCAGGACATGTCAACAACAGCGTGGGCCGATCAACCATCCTGTTTTCAAACTGAACAACCCTAAAGTAGGGAGGGAGACTCTTCAGATACTTCAAAGCCCCCAAACCTTGAGAGGAGGCTGGGTTTTCTGCTTCCGCGTCCAGCGCAGAGGGTCTTTCTCTGTGTGTCTGCTCTGTGCATGTTTTCTAACCCCAAGAAACGCCTTCCTGTAACTGTTGATTCTGTTGGCAAGTGCTCCGGATTTCTCTGCTGTTGCATTTCAGAATTCTCCTACCTTTTAACTCTTTAACTGGCAGAGACAATGAACCCGACCAGGAGCCCTTGACTGCATCATTTCTAGACTGGATGACAATTCTCCCAGGAGTGGATTGGTCATCCCAGGAGTGCATTCCTGGTAAAAGCATGAATCTGGCCTCGCTTCCTCTCTCACGCATGTGTCCACTCGTCCTTCTGACGTGCTTGATGCTGGAGAAGTGTCTCATCAGATGCTGGCACCATGCTCGTGGACTTCCGGGCTCAAGAATCATGAACCAACTAAACGTATTGTATGTATAAAGTATGCAGCCACTGGTATTCTCTCACAGCGACAGAAAGCGAGCTAACACATTCAGGAGGAGGTGGCCTCATGGTCCCATACCAGTCTGACCTCAGCCCTGTGTGGACCACAGAGAAGGGAAGACTTGTTTGAATGTTAGATGTGATTTCTTCCATCTGAAAATTAATATGGACCCATAGATCTTCAACGTAAGGTAATATAGTTTCACCATGCTTCAAACCACTCTTTTCCAAATTCAAGGCTAGCCCTGACAGCTGGAGGGCAAGCAGCTGGCCCCAGTGCTTAAGAAGAGAGAAAATAAGAGAAGCAGTGTTCCACACCACTGCCCTGTGTTCCGGGTCTTGTCTGTGGCTAGTGTGAGTCTTTGGCCATCTTTTCCTTTCAGAGTTTATTTGCTATGACTTGACAGCTGAGTGTCGGGTGTACACCACCAGACAGGGCCTCTCCCATGCCTGGAAGTGTGGCTATTTTTCCACAGATGCCACTTGCCCATCACTGAACCCTCAGGACCACCTCAAATAGCAGATGTATCCACTCGCCAATGCTGCCGTGACAGCCACAAACTTGGTAGTTTAAAACAACAGGATGTTATTCTCTCATAATTCTGGATTCCAGAAAGTAGTAGTGAGCTGTGCTGTCCACTGCGGGTCCTTCCAACGGCTTGGGGGCTTCATCCCATGTCTCTTCCAGCTTCTGGTGACCGCTCACGACCCTCGGCTTGCAGGCGCATCATTTCAACCGCTGTCTTTGCCCTTTTGTGTCTACACAGCTCTGTCGACATTTCCTCCCTCTTCTAAGGATATCAGCCATTGGGTCAAATTCCTCTTCACCCTGCTCTAACCTGACTGATTACATCTGCAAAGACCTTAGTTCCAAATACATCATCAGTGTCTAGAGTTTAGACTCCTTCATATTTGGGGGACCCAAAGCAACCCACAGTGGTAGATATTGTTCCAATCCTTCTACTGTAAATCGTAAACTGAGATTCAAGGTAACTTACCCAGAGATTAATAACATACATGGTACCTAATTATTGGCTTACATCTAATTATTACTTACTGTGCCTTGCCTGTGATAGGACCCCTGCTGGGTGCTTCCTTCTCAAGCCTAATGTTCATGTAATCTTCATGCCTACCCAGGTCACTCAGCTAGAAGCAGCAGGTGTGGGACTCCATGTAAAGTCCTGGCCAGGTCACACAGCAGAATGTCTCGGGGAAGGCCCACCCTCCTCACTCCACATCTGTTGCCTCAAGGTGGCACCGTTCTCTGCCTGCATGTGAGAATCATGACTGTAAGTGACTAGAATTGTTACTGGAATTGTCCAAGTGCCAGAAGTCAGTACAAACTGGATGCCTCTCGGTGGGTGATGGTCTGATGGGAAACGTAAGTGTTTCTCTTCTTTCCAGCAAGCCAAGCTGAGGAAGAAGCACCCAGTGAGTAAACCCCATTAAACATCCAAGCCACAGTTCATGACATCCCTGCAGGGGGTGCCAGGAGACTAGGATCACTTCTCCATTCTGATTGCTGCCTCACTGGGCGAGACCCTACGCTAGCATGCTGAGGAGGAACCAAGAGCTTGGAATTGCTACAGATGAGTGATTGAAATGATCTCATTCTTCTTCAAAGTGAGAAATGAAAGGGAACATTTCCTGGGAATAATGTTCTTCCTCAATATCAACCATGACATCACATGGGGAGACGGCTCAGACAGTAAGGCACTCCCCTGGCCAGCACAGGGGCCCAGAGTCCATCCCCACATGGAAATGCCAGGTTGGTGGTGAGCGGTTGTAATTCCAGCTCTGGGAAGGCAGAGACAAGAGGGTCCTCGGAACTTGCTTCCAAGCCAATGAGAGACTCTGTCTCAAAGGAGGTGGATGGTGCTTGTGAGATTACACCCATGCTGTTCTCTGGCCTCCACAAGCACCTTCACATAAAGGCACATACATCTGCATGCATGTGCGCACACACATACTCACACACAGACACACTAAGAAAATGTGTGGGACAGTAAGGTGTCTCAACAAGTTAAGGCTCTTGCTGACAAGCCTGAGGACCTGAGTTTGATCTCTCGGATCCATTTGACAGAGGGAGGGAGCTCACTCTTGCAAACTATCCACTGACACACACTTGTGCTCACATACCCATGAACACACATGAACACACACACACACACACACACACACACACACACACACAAATGTAAATAAATGTAATTTAAAATTTTAAAGCTGTGTAAATACCCATAAATGCCAGTCTTACAAACACAGTGACTCTGAGCCCAGAACCTACATGTAATGACTGAGACCCAGTAGGTCCCTCAGCTCAACATGGGAATAATGAAGGAACACTTTACCCCATGCCACAAATACCAACCCCATCTCTACCACCCATTGCCTTTGAGAGTCCAGGCAAGTTATTTCTCTCCTCTGAGCCTCAGTTTCCTTACCTGTAAAATGGGGGGTCTCAGCATTCACCTTAAAACACTGTTGAGTGAGGAAACCACACATGCCTCTCTCACCCTTGATTACAAGGAGAGAATGTAAGCTACGGACAAGTTTGGAGTTTAATCTTATGTCTCCTGTGCACCCATATTTCTACTTAAAGGGGACCTTGCTTAAATACAAGTGTGAGCAGAGCCCTCCCAGAACCATAAAAGAGAAAACAGCTGGCAGAATGTCCAGACATGGGGGGACACTGTGTTTCAGTCTGCTCAGTATCATCTCACTGAAAGTCAATCTCCTTTCCCTACCCCTGACACAGATGGTGGGGGACACTGGTGGGTGGGGCTGGGGACACCTGTGGCACTTTGCTGCCCGCCTTGGCTGTTTGAGAAGCTCAGTGTGGAGCACACGAGTGCTAGGCAATATGATACCCAAGGACTATTGAGAACCAGCCTGAAGATAGATACTCTAGGAAGGGACCTGGCACTCAGTCTCCTCAAGTAGGAGAAGGTATGCGGGAGAGAGAGGGAAAACCAGGCTTGCCCATTCCAGGAAAGTGTGTGACTCTGAGAAGTATTAGGAAAGGAATCTCACCGGTTTCTTGACCCACGGAACTTGGTCATTAGTGTGTGCGTGCAAAGTGCCCCAGGTTTATGTGTTGGAACACTTGGTTTTTACCTTGGAGGGTTGGGACCTTTGGAGACAGTGTGGCCGGCAAAGGTGTGTCACTGGGGTGAGCCTCTGGGGGTCTACTCTTGTCGTGGCTCTAGGCTAGCTCTCTGCTGCCTGCCTGCTTCATGTGATGGAGTCTGTGCCATGCGCTCCTCTGTGACGTCTGCTGTCCCTTGCCTGCCCTAAGAGACTGAAACCACTAGGTACGATGGTTTCCTCCCTTCCATTGGCTCTGCAGGTATTTTTTCACAGGTGGAGAAAAGTCACTCCCCTGCATCTTAGTGATGTCACGATTTTAAGGTTGTGACTGAGAGCAGTCTGTGCGCTAAGAATGCTTTTTTTGCTAGGTGTAGTGGCATATACCTCTAGTCCCAGCACTCAGGACATAGAGATGGGAGGCAAGTTCAAAGGCCGCCAGGGCTTCATAGGAAGACCCTGTCTCACAAAACAAAAACCAAACAAATGAAAAAGAATATTTTATCCAAATTTACTTGTTTTTAAAATTTCATTCTCACTGGGTGGTGGTGGCACACCCCTTTAATCCCAGCACTTGGGAGGCAGAGCCAGGTGGATCTCTGGAGTTTGAGGCCAGCCTAGTCTACAGAGAGACCCAGGACAGGCTTCAAAACTACACAGAGAAAACCTGTCTCGAAAAAAAAATTTTTTTCATTCTCTTTCAGATTAAAAAAAAAAAAAAGTACAGGTGTGTGTGACCTAGGCTGGCCTCTGATTTTTTGTTAGCATAGAAAGTCCTAATCTTTGCCTCTACTCCCTAAATGCTGGCATTACAGGTGCATGCCACCATGTTCAGCTTTCAGATTCTCTGTGTTCTGTTCTTTTTATACCCATGAAGTTTGACCATGAAGGGCTAGAGTGAAGTTATCCCCTTTGGCTCCCTTGATGTACCATGGACTTTCAAGCAGGAACAGAACCTGCAAAGGGGCTGAATGTATGCGCCTGAAACAGTGCCACCTAGAGGCAACTTCTCCAAATGACAGCTCACCGGGACCTAGGTGGGTGGCTGAAACAGTCATCTAGAAATGAACAGGAGGGCAGAGTGGGCGTGCATTCCACACAAACCGTGGAATAAATAAAACAGGAGACTGACACAATCACGAACTAACATTCCAGAGGAGTCTTTTTTCTTGAAGGAACAAAAGCTTGGCCAAACAGAATTCTCATTACACTCTGTTCCCTTAACTGCGCCAATCCATTCCACAAGCAACTTTGAAGGAAGAGGAACCAGTGCTTCGCCTTGTCAGTTACAGTTCCTAAAAAAATATGTACTGTGTAATAGCTAAAAACAGCTAAAAATTAGCTAAAAACAGCTGTCCCACTACAACTTAAATGTAAAAAGAATTCTTTAAAGACAACCAGTAGCAGCAAAAAGAAAAAAAAAAAAGTCAAACATTTGTAAACAAAATCTTAGCCACAAACTTAACGCCTATTAACAAAACTTCCATACTCCTTGAGAACATTAAATATATACAAGAGAGGGAAATTTGAGTCATCTTTTTCTTACTATAAAAATACTTAGCATCTGAAACAATGTTACCAGGAGCAGACACAATTGACACAATTTGGTATCATCGTAAAGTGCTTTGAACCAACAAAAGCTCCGGGGCCATCACGTCCCTACAGAGGGCAACCTCTCCAAATGTTGTCTCCGGGCTGTGATCCTGGCACAGCGGGGGCATCTCGAAGACTGGAAACACTCTTTGTGAAAGCAAGCCCTGCACCCTGCAAGCAAGAGGACCAGTCATCAGCAAATGGGCTTCTTAATTTCTCACATACATACATATGGATGCTTATTCCCATGGGGTGGGGGTGGGGGGAAGAAGGGGGGTCCCAAACACAGGATCTTATAGAAAACAAAACAAAACAAAACAAAACAAAACAAAAAACAACCACGCCCAAACTCTCAGAACTACCAGTTACTCAACTGCTCTTGACCATGAGGCTCAGAAGCCTGGTGGATGTGGTTGATGCCACACACCTCCAGATCAGCCCGGGCACTAGGGGCAGCTCCCCAAGTCTTAACTTGGTGGCTGATGGCTCTTGCGAGGTGACATTGATTCTCTTGAAATGTCTCTAAAGGGACAGAGCTGCCTCATTCAAAGTCAAGCTCTTTTCTTAGCAGCGGCCTGTATTGAGTGACGAGTTGCTGTGGAGTTTGAAGACCCGGTCACCTCTGTGAGTTGGAACAATGCTGAGATGCTACCTCCTCTGCTACCCAGAGTTCCGTGAGATGGCCCAGGGCTTCTTGTAGCCCAACACTATTCAATATTGCCCATGTCCAGGTCTGCTGCTTTCACAGCCCCATGGGCCTGGAAATCCCAGGTTCGGTTCTCTTTTCTGGGGACCCTGTCTTACAAGACTAGAGAACCCCAAAAAGAGACCATGTTTACATAAAAGATGAAGGCAGGGTTCCCCACCAAAACCCCTCCCATGCAACAGAATTTAGAGAGCATGGGTTACCTGAACAGCCCATCTGTAAAGAGACAAATGATTGGACCTAGTTTGTAGCTCAGGTCAAGTATTTGCTACATAAACGTGAGGACCTGAGTTCAATCCCCCAGAGCCCACCTACAAAGTTGCATGTGGTGTCACATGCCTGAAACTCAGTGTTGAGAGAACAGAGACAGGAGGATTGCAGGGACTATGGGCCAGCCTAGCATAATTGGGGAGTTCTAGGCTAGTGGTAGGCCCTGTCTCAAAAATAAAGATGGATTGTGCCTGAAAAATGACACCCAAGGCTGACTTCTGGCCTCCACACACATGCACATACACTGGTCCACATACATGAATGCACATATACACACATGCATGCACACACACACACACACACACACACACACACACACACACACAGTCACACAAAAGCCAGTAGTAAATGTTTTAGGCCTTGAGAGCCATTTGGTCTCTGTGCTGGTTTGAATAGGTATGGCTCCCATAGACTCATGAGTCTGAATGCTTGGCCCACAGGGAGTGGCCCTATTAGGAGGCGTAGGCTTATCAGAATAGTAGGCTTGCTGGAGGAAGTGTGTCACTGTGGGGATGGGCTTTGAGGTCTCCGGTACTCAAGCTATGCCTAGTATGGCACACAGACTCCTTCTCCTGCCTGTGGATCAAGATATAGAACTCTCAGCTCCTTCTCCAGCACCATGTCTGCCCGCACACTGCCATGCTTCCCTCCATGATGACAATGGACTAAACCTCTTAACCCGTAAGCCAGCCCCAGTGAAATGTCTTCCTTTGTAAGAGTTGCTGTGGTCATGGTGTCTCTTCACAGCAGTAGGAACCCTAACTAAGACAGTCTCGGTAACAGCAGGTCCACTCCACCACCCTAGCTTAAACCCAGAGATAACCGGTCAGTGCTGGGTGGAACTGTAACCTAGTTAAAACCGGTGGCGACAACAGGTCAAACTGGGACCATCCTCTCCATCCAACACCCCAAGAAATAGCATTCTTTATCCCTGCCCTGCAAAATATGCCTCGCTGTGGGCCCCAAACTCTACTGCCTCCAGGCTACCCCCAAGGACACACGGCATCACTGCACTTTACAGAGAAAACTGTGCTTAAGTGACTGAGGCATCTTTCAGTGGAAGTTGGCATTGTGATTTAGCTACTTGGCAATTAAGCGATTATGAAGCTGACGTTACGAATGCAATTAACGTACCTGAACATCTTGTGCAAGTCGTGGTCTGAAACGGGAAGATGACGGTCGCGCTCTGGCAAAACTCACAGATGAAGCCCTTCCCCTGGCAGAGCTGCAAAAGAAGGTACCTAAGGTCACAGGTGACACCGCTTCTGGTGCGGGGGAAACTGGGTGCCATGTACGCTGGGGAAACTGGGTACCATTTACACAGAACCACAGAGGCATCATCGACTTTTCAATGTCTAGGATTTTAGCCCCTAGAAGAACAGAATCATAATAACAACAACAACAAAAAACACATTCCATAATGGCTGTTTCCGGGCAGAATGGGCTCTGACAGAGGATGGACATTCAAAGGAAGAAGCTACAGGGTCCCATCTTGCGTCCCAGCAGGGTGACTTTGGTTAGCTCATGCAGGGCTGTGATTCAATGCTCTCCCTGGTCAGGGCTGTGAAAGTGAAAAGTGATTAAGAGTCAAGTGAGAAACATCTCCCTCCCCAGATCCTGGCACTGGGAAGGGAACCTGTCCCAGGTGATCCCTCACCTCACAGCTGGCTACATGGGCAAGAGAAGACTTCAGGATGTCCTTAAGCAAGGGTGCCAACAGTCCTTTCTTGGTCCTGAGGAGGTCTTCCATGGAGAACAGATGGCATTCGTCCGTCACATGGCTGGGAACTTGCTCGAACTCCTTCAGGACACTGCAGGAGAGCAAACAGTTCCCTGAGTCACCTACACCTTTTTCCTACTAAACAGCTCTCTTGGGGCTAGGAGCAATCGCTCAGCCACTAAAATGCTTGCTTTGCAAGGAGAAGATCAGAGTCCAGATCTCCAGCACCTACACAGAAAACTGGGCACTGTAGTGCATGCCTGTAATCCCAGTGATGGGGAGGCAGAGGTGAGGGGATCCCCAGAGCTCACTGGCGCTTGCCAATTGGTGAGTGAGCTCCAGGCCAAGGGAAAGACTATGTCTCACAAAATAAGGGGGAGAGGTATTGACAAGACACCCACCATCAGCCTCTGGGCTCCACATGAGCGCAAACACATGTGCACACGCATGCACACGAACACACACAAAAATCTCCATCCGTGAATTCCTGTCTCAACCTTTCCTGGCCATTTCCTTTAGATAATGTGTCTGTGATGTAAATTTAACTACTATCCTATTACCGAACACCTAGTAGGTTTCTATGTTATTCCTTATTTTAAATTTATATCTTAACTAAATTTCTTCCCTTCTCTTTAAGAACATCCCTAGGGTAAGCTTTGAGAAGTAGTTTCTGGAAGCCATGATCTCACTCAGAGTGACAAGCATCCTGTATCTACAGGAGGGGGATTTAGTAGGCCATGGGAATCCTCACAGCAGCACTACTCACAAGAGACGGGAGCAGCCCCATCCCTAGGTGGGCAGATTCAAAAGTCAATATATACACAGAACCAAATGTTATTCAGTCTTCAAAAGGAAGGGAATCCTGACACATGCTGCTTTGTGGATGGACCTGGAGAACATTTTAAGTGAAATAACCCAGTGATAAAAAGACACATGTTCTATGATCCACATACATGAGGTACCCCAGGGTGGTCAGATTCAGTGGATTGCCAGGGGCTGGGATACAAGAGGAAGGAAGGGGACAGAAGACTGGTTATGGAGATTGGATTTTGCAAGAGGCAGAGTTCTGCAGATGGACAGTGGTGGTGGCAACATAGTGGAAATGCCCTCAATGTCCATGAACTGTGCATTTAAAATGGGTGGGATTTTACATTCTGTTACATGTATTCATCACAATCTATTATGTTTACTATATTCACATTATATTTATGCTCTAGCCGCTGGCTGAGGTATTTACCTTTATCCTTGTTTTTTTTTTTGTTGTTGTTGTTATTTTTTTAATTCACTTTAGTTTATTTCCTTCAGTGCTGGGGGTCAAGAATAAAAGGTCCTAAGAAGGTGGCGTTACTGGGGGAGCGAGGACCAGGAAGCACGCGTGAGGCAGGAGCATAGAGTGTTCCCACTGGGAATCATACCTGTCAGCAAACCTGCAAGTCTTCAGCAGCTTCTTGATATGAAACAGTTGCTCCTGGATGTCCTAAGGCAAGAAGCCAACCAGAGGGAATGAGATGCGTGGCCACTGGCGATGTGCATGGCAAATCTTACAGTTATTTGAAATAATATGCTGGCAAGCAGAATCAGCTTTCAAGCAAATGGCCCCTTCAGCAAGGGCTTAAACTGAATCCTTGGATCCACAAGTCCTGAATGGACACAGGTTTTGTGGAGCCTTGGAAGAGCCCACATAAGTGAGAGACCATTCACTCCACAGTCTATTTGCTTTCTGAAGGGTCTGGAGACACTCTGAAACCAGAGTGACATGTAGAATATTATTTTAAGGTGTGTTGCTTTTATGTCGAATTTGTTTAACTCTGTGAAGCTGTGTGACTGTGCCTGTCTAAAACACCTGATGGTCTAATAAAGAGCTGAACAGCCAATAGTGAGGCAAGAGAAAGGATAGGCGGGACTGACAGGTAGAGAGAATATATAGAAGGAGAAATTTGGGAGAAGGGAGAGATCTAGGCACCAGAGAAGGAGGAAGACTCCAGGGGCTAGCCACTCAGCTACCCAGCTACACAGAAAGCCACGGAGTAGGAAACAAAGAAAGCTATACAAGAATAGAAAAGGAAAAGCTTGGTGGCAAAAGGTTCACGGGATAATTTAAAGTTAAGAAAAGCTGGCTAGAAACAAGCCAAGCTAAGGCCGAGCATTCATAATTAAGAATAAGCCTCCGTGTGTATGATTTATTTGGGAGTTGGGTGGCAGGGCCCCCCTAAAAGAGCAGAAATAAACAACAATAGTGACATGCATTCCCTACAATGGGACATCTCTCTTCCTGCACTTGCTTCCTCCTCTGTGGAGACATCAGCTCACCTTCACTCTGTCCAGTTCCTTGGCTTTCGCATAGAGCTCATGGTGCCCGCCTAGCAGGTTGAAGACAGGTTGGTGCCATATGCTGTCCAGTAGCCATTTAGAGAAATTGCTGACTTGGTACCTCCTGAAGTCCCACATCATCAGGATCCTCGCAGGGATGCAGGACTCTGCAGATGAGTGGCAGCTGTCACAGAAGTACTTCCCCGTATACTCACAATACCGGAGCCGTTTCACAAACTCTGTAGAAGGCAGGAGGGTGAGACCACGTTTGTGATGCTGGGGATCCTCCCTAAGCCAGCTCCCCATTCCTATGCAAGCTTCAGTCTCAGATCACTGTTCACAGGGGCAGAGCCAGATTCAGCTGTCAGGGAGCCTAGCTGTGACATTGATGTGGGGATTTCACTTATGGCCATTCGTGAGTTTGCTGTGGTAAGATAGATGCTGGAGAAACATCTCAAACACTCTCGGACTTGGAAAATGGGTGCAGCAAACTGCAGTGCAGTGAGAGCATTCTGTGTAGGGTCTGGGAATCTGGCGGAGTGCACAGATGCCACCTGCTACTGACAGAACTCCAGCGGCAGCTCAGAGTCTCTTCGGCTAACAAATGCAGCACAGAGGGTTCAGGGATAGCCCACAGACAAAAAACACATTCTAAAGCAGCATGTGCACAGTGTGAGGATGTAGCCTTCAAAAGAATTTCCTTATAAATCAGGAAGGGGACAGAGAGAGATAGAGAGTACCTAGACCCCCAGAATGCTAACGATGCACATCTCTGCAGTGTGGAGAAAACTATTTGTTTCTTGCACTTTTGAATCTGCTAAAACAAACACATGGTGCTTCTGAAATCTCTCTGATAAAATATTTTGAGGCACAAAAAATGTAGGGATGAAGGTAACAATACTGCACCCTCACTACCTGGGCTAAGAAGGAAAATAACACAGCGGAAGTCTCCCGTGCGGCCATCCCTCAGCGTTAGCGTCCGACATGAACCAAGTCTGGCATTTATCAATCCTGTTTTGACTTGTGTCTCTTTGTCAATGAGATAACACAAGGTGTAATTCCAGTTCCTATGTCTGTCAGACTCGTGGTGAGAAAGAACAACGTAATGGATGGGAAGGGAGTGACTGCACTCCCTAGCACACTGTAGATAATGGTGACCGTTTTCCAAACAATGCCTCGAAGAATAGGCAGGGATCAGTCTTCACTGGGCACTTAGCCTGTTCCCCAAGCTGGCTATGGGTTAATATATGTCATTCTATGCTTGTAATTCCGTGACTTAGGAATTTATGATCCCTCTTTCATTAAGGAGAACACAGGATCGTGAAGACAAGCGTTACAGTCGGGACACCCTGGCAGTGAGCAGGCAAGCTCAGTTGAAATCCAGTGTAGCCAGCATATCCTGCTTCTCCTTGGGTTCAGGTGCTGACGGGGAAGGACAAATGTCTCTGCACTTGCTGGGTTATCCTGAGGGGAGAGGTATGCTAAATCTCCAACAAACCAAAAGAACAAAAACCATAGTACTCGGCACGCCACCTGAGGGACAGGTGTAATATACTATACTATACTATGCAAAAACTATAGTACTCGGCATGCCACCTGAAAGACAGGTGTAATATACTATACTATACTATACTATACTATACAAAAACTATAGTACTCAGCATGCCACCTGAAGGACAGGTGTACTATACTATACTATACTATACTATACTATACTATACTATACTATACTGTATAAAAATTGTAGTACTTAGCATGCCACCTGAAGGACAGGTGTAGTATACTATACTATATAAAAAGCAGAGTACTCAGCGCAGCACCTGACCTGGGAACCTGCATGCCTGATCAGACTTGCCATGATGGGAAGAGACAGGACACAAGGGGCCCATAATTTCCTCCTAATGTAACCTGCCTTTCCCTAACATCTAAGCCCCCAGCAGCTCAGTATCCATTCACTCATTCACCAAGCTTCATTGAATGCCCACTGTGCTACCATCAGTACAGCATGAATGATGTCATCGCTCTTCCTAAGACCATTCAGACAGAAAAAAATGGAAGGTTCCTAAACCAGTGGCACTCAGCCAGGGTGACTTTTACCCTCTGGGGACATTTGCAAGTATCTGGAGCCATTTTACTTGTCCTGTTTGAGGGGTTGCAGGGGATCATATAATTCTGCCCCAAACTCTCAAATCCATGCCCCCCCCCCGCAAGTCATTAGAACTGGAGTTCAGAAACCCCCCTCCAACAGCTGTTTTCTGTCTCCTGGAGTCAATGACATGGAAAATAATTCTAGAATTGGGTTGTCCAACCAAACCTTCTGAAGACGTGGAAATGGATTGCCGTCCAACACAGCTGCCATGACATGGGCCAAGTGTGACTAAGAAACTGAGTTTAAATTGTAATTAACTGTGATTTCATGATGCCACGTGGGCACGCAGTGCAGTTCTTGAATAAGGCTGACTAGAGAGAAATAGAGACTAGATGCGCTGTGCAAAATCAAATTGGAAAGTGAGCCATACATGGTGATGCCTTGCAGGCAGTAGGGAGGAGAGTGGACCCGGGGAGAGAATAGTGAGAATTGCTGTTGCCATTTTGTTGTGATAACTGCTTATAATCCTTACTTTTAGAATATGAGTAAGGGGTTCTCTCAGTTGGGGTTTCCTTTGCTGTGATGAAACACCATGGCCAAAAAGAAAGTTGGGGGCGGGGGGTGGTGGGAAGAGTTCATTTGGCTTACACTTCCACATTGCAGTCCATCATTGAAGGAAGCCAGGACAGGAATTCAAGCAGGGCTAGAACTTGGAGGCAGGAGCTCATGCAGAGGTCATGGAAGGGAGCTGCTTACTGGCTTGCTCCTCGTGGCTTGCTCAGCTTGATCTCTTATAGAAGCCAGGACCATTAGCCCAGGGGTGGCACCACCCACAATGGGTTGGGTCTTCCCCCATCAATAACTAATTAAGAAAATGCCATACAGCCAGAACTTACGGAGATATTTTCTCAGTTAAGGTTCCCTCCTTTCAGATGACTCTAGTTTGAGTGCCAAGTTGACATAAGACTAGCCAGGACAGGGATAGAGGGTAAAATGGCCCGTATGTGAGACTGGAGGGGGCTGAGGAAGAATGTAAACATAATGTGGGCTTTTGGACTGAACTCTGAAACAGATAAAGGCTATGGGCAGCAACAATCTTCTAAAATCTGGTAAAGTCTGAAGTTAAGCTGACAGGATTGAGCCAACATTAACATCTCCGATGTAATGATTGCCCTGTGATTGACATTGACAGAAGCTGGGGAAGACGCTTGGGAGCCCTTCACACTATTTCTCAAACTTTTCTGTGAGTCTAAATGAGCTCAGAATTCCAAGTGAAAATAGTCAGAATTAGACGAAGCTTTCAGGAAAAGCGCTAAATCGCTTCCACAGCTGACATCAGCCAAACCTGTGCTGTACCTACACTGCAGTGTTCTCCTCTCCTCTGTCTTCTTTCCGGTTGCCACTGTCCCTTTGCCTGTGCCGAGCACCCCACATCCTGAGACAATCTCTTCTTTAGGAAACCTCTCATTCCCCCTCCACCTCCATCTCAGATGAAGTCTCTTCACTGTAATTTCCACAGCGGTCTCGTCTTCCCCATTCCCTATCTTGTCCTCCAAGCTGGGAAGCAGATTTTGTGAGGGCAGGTTCTGCAAAATTCCCTGCTGGACTGACAGCATGTCAATGAACTAAGGAAGGTACTCAAGGATTGGGGGAGTCCGTCGTGTCTATGTAGTTTCTGACTCATGCATTTGACGTTGTGTATGACGTTAGGCTGTACAGATTAACTAACAGACCTGCTTCTTGCTAGACTAGCTGGGACACTAAGTCATTTAAGGAAGATCGCTGTGACTATGGTACAGTAACATGAAGTGAGATAGAAGAAGCCCTGCCTGCTTCTGCTTTCAGTTGCAATCTCTTGAAATAGACATCCTTGCTGGAGAGCAAGCAATGCCCAGCTAAAAATCCTGCATGGGGAAGACTAGTTTGCAGGATCTTGGCCAGCTCAGAAATGAGTCACCATGTCCTCTGTCCGAGCAGTCTGGCCAGGAGCCATTTGTTGACTCTGTGGGTGTGTCTGGAGGACTGTCTATGAAAGCACACCCTAAAGGCCAAAGATGAAGAATGAACAAAACCAACAATGTCTCTGCCTTCATGGAACTTACTTCTGGTGATGGAGACAAATAATAATCTGTAAATAAAACAGAGTGGTCTAGGGATGGATGCCATGCTGAGAGTAAACAGTGTGGAGGATGATTGCATGAAGCACACACACACACACACACACACACACACACCTGTCTGTGGCCAGATGGGCACATTCCACAGGGCAACCAGAGAAGACTTGGGGAAAAGAGGAGGAGGAGGGGGAGAGGAAGAAGAGGGGGAGAGGAAGAAGAGGAGTGGGGAGAAGGTAAAGATGTGAAGGAGCCAAGACTCATAGGGACGTTTACAGGGAGAGCATTCTAGGGAGAGGAAACAACAGATTCAAATGCCTGTCAGGAATGGTTGGGTTCTCCAAGTGCCCACTGGAGAAGCAGCCAGGATGCTGGTCCTCCTAGCTCCTGGCTAGTCATGCAGCTTTGTAGGTCATGATGGCCTCCATGAGTCCTTCACAATATGCCCACACCAAAACATCTGTCTCACACCAAAACAATACACAGTCTGGCTCTGCTGATCTTCACTCTGTCATCAGGTAATAAGCAAACAGTTGCAGGACCCATACTTACTGGGCTGTATTGGAGTCCCACATCCAGCACAGAAGAAATTCTGGGCCACTACCGCTATGTCCCTCCTGAGGACAGAAAATGGCAGCGGTTACACATTTCAAAGCTGGTCAGGGCAGCATTTCTCATTGATAGAAAAGCAGTTGACATCATGGTGTGTTCCTTGGGTTGGGGTCCTTAATTTTGTCATTTTTTTTCCATTTTGTGAAAATTTTATACTTATCTAATATGGTCTTCTAATTGAAACCCCTGGGCTTTATGAAGCTAGGACCCTAAAAATCTCAGTTGTCCCCAAATTAGAAGTCAGTATCACAAAGAACTCTTCTCTTATAGAGTCCTTGGGGCTTCCCACTGCCCATGAACAGAAGCCAGAGGTACACTAAAGACAGCCAAGGAAACACAACACAGTCTGACATGCTTGGAAATGTCACGGGTGAATAAATACTATACACACTGGAATAAGAGATGAGGCAAGACACATTTATCAAATGCTCCTGCGGAGAGGGTTCTGGGAGCAGCTGTGCCCCAATTTCAACAGTGACCTAGAATTATGGGCGAAGTGGTAAATTTAAATATTTATTGTAGTCTAAGGTCAACAAAAATTGCCAAGGTTAAAAAAAATGTGTTAAATCTCCATCCATATGTCTTACGGAGGATTCTGGGAAATTTGAGAGAAAAGATAGCCTGTGCAATGAAAGTGACCTGTCCCAGTGCCTTGAGGGCAAGTTCTGCCCCAGCAGTCGAAGCACCCTTTCTGGGATCCACTAAGTCTGAGAGCAAAGACGGTGAGCAGGGATAAGGTTCATGAGAGACCTCCATGGAGCAGCGAACATTGCTCCATAGCCCTGAAGCTTGCATGAGAGACCGAGAAAACAGAAAAACTGCAGGTGGCTAAAATATGTTGCCTGTAACCTTTATCTGTAATCCATTCCATACTCTCAGAACAAATCACAATTAAACTACTATGTACACACCATATGTATGGCCACAAAGACACACACTACATAGGTTTAGTCCCTTCTTGTATAATTTTAGCTGTCTCGGAGCTTCTGTGATTTTACAGAATAAAGATTCTACTTATGTTCTGTTACATTTCTCAGTTACGGCCAATCTCCTTGAGATTAAATTCTTCTTTTAAAACTACTATGCATTCATTGTTCTTTTAATTGCACACTAGCTAGTCTGGAAAATAGAATGATCTCATTATTTTAAATCATTGTATTTGGGTTTTGTTTCAGAAATAGCCCCTTAAAAAGTCTTCTTTAGGCCTATTTAATCTACAAGGGCTATATAATGTTCATAATTGGGGAGGAAGAGTTACACTTTTAATGTATGTGAATACTTATGTATCCTCCCCCCAAATTTCACGATAGAGTGCCAAAACTAAGCCAGACACACATTCTCCTTTGTCCCTCAGGGCACTGTTTTTTTCTTCTTGTGCTTCCATACGTATCAGGTGGGACCCATCACATGTTCCAAGTAGAACCTAAGATTTGCGGCAGCACCTCACACTTACTTGATTGGCGTGTGAACAGTAAGTATGATTTGAAATCGAGAGGGTACCCAGTCTTCAGCTCCTGGGACCTTAGACTTCAGCGTGATTTCCTGTGTTGCGTCCACACTGGACTCAAAGTCTTCCCCAGCCTTCTCTTCATTCCCAGCCTACATGACACAGGAGAGGGTTCGGGGATGACCGCAGAAAGCACATTTCGGGAGTTTAATTGAAAAGAACTCTCAAGTGTGTTTCCCATTAAAATTTACCACCAGAAATTGGAACTGGTTACAGCTGATCTAAAGGACTTGGCCCATGTCCTCTACCTTCCAGCTGAGCCCCCCTGCCCCCCTCTATTTTTTTTTAATGATTGTGTGTGTGGCGCCTGTGCAGGCCAGAAGAGCGTGTCAGATGCCCTGGAGCTGGAGTTCCCTGCAGTTGTGAGCAACCCGGTGTAGGTGCTGAGAACTCACACTTCAAGACAGCAGCGCTCTTCCCACTGAGCCTGAGCCGGCCTGTTTTAGGATTTTAGCTCATTTGTCTCCTGACTTCCCATGTGGTGAGAAGAGTTCCTCGACCTGGGATTCTTCATGACAGAAGCAGCCCCCAGGGACTAAAGCAGCAGCCAATCAGAGCTTTGCCATGGTCTTGCTGCAGAACCCTAGTTCACAAAGCTGAACAGCTTACTGTAAAATCTTACGTTTTCCTGTCGTCATTGAAAATCCAGACTCCTCCAATCAGCCTTCTGAAACCTCCACAGTTTGGCCATTATCATTCAAGCCTGTTCCCAGGGTCCCCAGGGCCCCCAGGACCCCCACCCCACCCCCACTCGCACTGTCCACCCCACCTGAGTCTCTGCTCATCTGGGCTCCAGACCCCCTCCATTTGTGTTCCAGTGGCCCTTGCTAAGAACACTTCCCCACAGGGTCTGGCTGCCCCAGCACCGTCTGGCTAACACCTGGCTCAGGATCTAAGCCCTCCAGCCAGCTTTCCTAAGTTCCTCTGCTAGAATTAGATGCCTGGCCACCCTGGCCCTTCCAGAGTGGGGTTTTCCCAGCCCTTCCTTTAGCATTTACTACCACCAGGGGGTTCCATGTTCTCTGAGGACAGGATATCCGGCAAGCAGAGTCTTGTGTGTTTTCACATCTGTCAGCCAGGAGTGGCACCTGCTTCACCACTGACCTGCCCTGCCCACTGCCCTGCCCTGCCCACTGCCCTGCTAAGGTCTCAGCCCAACATGTTAAAATAAAAGTAAGAAGGAGGGAAAAATGAGAACACCACCCCAGGATACTTGGAAGGATCCCAACATGTTAGCAAGCCTGTAATCCCAGCACTAGGGAGGTTGGAGTAAGAGGATTCTGTAAGTTAGAGACTCCCCTGGGCTACATAGCAAGACCTTTTCTCAAAACAATAACAACATTGTGTGAATTGTTGGGTGTATTCCCTGATGTTTAATGGGTGCTCACGTTCATTTTGAGACCTCCTAGACACCTAGGAACCATACAAGGAAACATAAATATTTGAATCGAGCAGGCCAAGTGAGAAATGAAGACTGTTTCATTCTACATCAGCTGGCTTCCATACTTACTCCTGAGCTGGCTGCTGTCAGGGAGCCGGGCATCGGAGAGTTGACTTCCGACAGCATCTGCCACTTCCAGAACCCTCGAAGCAACTCTCTGGCTAGCAGCCCAGCAGGACTGACGTCTGACTCACACGTTGCACTGAAACATGAGAGAAAGAAACAAAGCGCTGGACAGCTGTGCATGGGGAGTCGAGTCAGGGTCTTTGGGGTTTCGACTGTGTGTTGAGGAAACTGTGTGAGACAGTCGGTTATTAGCTGGGCATCCAAAGCAATCACAGTTCACCCGTGATCAGCAGACAGAGTCTCTCATTTAGTCAGGGGACTGAGACCTGGGGTAGGGTGAAAAGAGCGCTGGATTTAAAGTCAGAAAACCGGAGTTCAAACCCTTCTTCTGATGTTCAGCAGCATCGTGAGGCTGACCCATCCTTTAATCTCAGCACTGGGGTGACAGAGGCAGGGGGATCTCTGTGAGTTTAAGGCCAGTCTAATCTACCTAGCAACTATATGTCTATCCAAGACAGCTAGAGCTACATAGTGAGACCCTGTCAACGGGGTTGGGGACACTGTGGCATCCTTTATAAGCCTCAGCTTCCATGTCTCTACAACAGGGTTACAAATAAATACCCAGGTCTGGAGAGATGGCTCAGCAGTTAAGGGCACTTGTTGCTCTTGAAGAGAACCAGGATTTGGTTCCATCACCTACATGGTAGCTCACAACCATCCATAACTCCAGTTCTAGGGGGTCAAATCCCCTCTTCAGACCTCCATGGGCATGCAGCATGCACATGGTACACATACATACATGCAGGCAAAACACTCACAAAATAAAATAAACCTAAGTTTGTTTTAAATAAATGCACAAATATATATAATATGTAAAACTTGTCTGGCCTCACTGTGAGGTAAAATGAAGATATATACGTAGCAGAATACCTATACATTGTATGAAGATGTGTTGCTGTGATTGATGTAATAAAAAGCTGAATGACCAATAGCTAGGCAGGAGAGGATAGGCAGGACTTCCGAGGCAGAGAGAGGAAGTCAGAGGAATGAATCTATGCTTGCAGGAGACGCAAGGAAGACACTGGAGAGGTTGGACAAATAGTACAGAGTAGAGATAACCAAGCCATGTGGCAGAACATAGATTAATAAAAGCAGGTTAATTTAAGTTCTAAGAGCTAGTTAGAAAAAAGCTTAAGCTAAGGCCAAGCTTTCATAATTAATAAGTCTCTGTGGGCTGGCAGTCCCAACAAGAAAGCTTACTACACATAGACAATAGTCTTTCACACACTATAACACACAGTGATTTGGGGGTGCTGTGCCTCGAATATGGGCAGTGTCCTCCAAAGGTCCGGATGTTAACAGATTGGCTCCCAGGGAGATGATTGAAGCTTGGGGAGGTGGAACGTAGCAGGGGCCTGTAGGTCCTTGGGGGCAGTAACTACAAAGGATGGTGGGACCATTCCCTCTTCCCCATGATCCTGCCATGGTATTCCCAAGACACACTGCCCTCACTGTCAATGACACTATCACGTCTTTGAGTTTCCAAAGGCAAGTAAACCTTTTCTCTCTGTAAGTTCATCGTCTCCGGTGTCTTCTCATAGTAACCAAAGCTGCTGCTATGGAGATGACTGGCTGAACTCTAGGTGACTGTCCTGTCTAATCCTAGTTCTTCTCCTGTTACTGTGACAAAATTGACAAAAGTAACTGAAGGGGCCCAACACCCATGCACATAAAAATAAGTAAGCTGCAGAAAAATTAACTTAGGGGATAAAGGATTTATTTTACTTTTTCTAATTTTAAATCTTTTTGTTTTGGGTTTTTTTGTTTTGTTTTTTTTGTTTTTGTTTTTGTTTTTTGTTTTTTTTTGTTTTTGTTTTTTGTTTTTGTTTTTTTGAGACAGGATTTCTCTGTGTGGCCCTGGCTGTCCTGGATCTCACTTTGTAGAGTATGCTGTCCTCAAACTCACAAAGATCCACCTGCCTCTGCCTCCCGAGTGCTGGAAGTAAAGACGTGCAGCACCATGGCCTGGCTAAAATTCTTGATATTATAACGCTTCCCCCTTCCCTTTCTACCTCCCCCCACCACCACCACTAACTTACTAAACCCCAACAACAATCTATTAACATTTGTCCTTAGACATGTAGTCTTTGCCTCTCATCAGGGGAACTTCTCTTTGCAGCAGACGGAGGCTACAGAAAACCACAACCAATCAGAATGCAGAGTTGTGGAGCCCAATCTCAATGGACACACCTACAAACTTCCCACACCCAAGGCTCCAGGAACTTTGCAGAAGAGGGGGTGGGAAAATCATTAGAGCCACAGGACTGGGGAGTTTGCTGTGAGACTCTATCTCCTAGGAATGTCAGAAAGGACTTATTTAGCTCACTCTTCAAGGGGCAGTCCACCATGGCAGCGAAGTCAAGACACTGAGACTTTGAAGTGGCTCGTCACACCACACAAGCAATTAGAAGAGAGCAATGAATACATGCATGCTAGCTCAGCTCTTTTTCCATTTATGTGGTCCAGGTTACCTGCCCAGAGGATGCTCCCACCCATAATTAACATGGGCCTTCCCACATCAATTATCATAGTCAAGATAATCCCCATAGGCTGGCTAAGGGGCCCTACTCTCGGGTGATTCTGGATTCTTCCAAGCTGACAATTAACTCTAAACATCATGAACCCCGCCTGTGGCTAACGTGGCCACAATATCAGGTATCAGTGGCAGAGTGTACATACATGGTGGCTCCAAAGAACCCCCCAGGGGTCCATGTGTGTAAGCACAAGAAGACATGTACCTCTTTAAAGAGCTGCTGGGGCGTCTGCTGCCTTCTGTGACGTCATTACATTCCCCAAGTTCTGTGGGAAAATGAAAAGAAAGGGCAACAGGGTCATTCAGCCTGTCTCACTCAGTTAATTTTATCAGTCTACAAAACATAGGTCCCTGCATTTAGGGAACCTGCAGTGGCTGATTACCCACAGACAACAGTGTGAGGCTCCAGTTAAGCACCAGGGATGGGATTTGTATATGAACTTCATCAAAACCACACAGCAGATGTAATGAACATCCGCCTTTTTGTTCAGTGCGTACCAGCGAGATGAACAATTATCAAGATGCTAGGGACTGGGAAACAGCTTCTCCTTCTCTGCATCCTGGCAGACGTCTTCCCAAACATCCCAGACATGGCCTTGTATGTGCTGTTTGCTGGTAGGTGTGTGATGTGAGGGAGCTGGAAGCAAGGAAGTTCTAAATCTCACCTAACATAACCAATTCATCCAAGTCTCGTTTGCAGGCCTCTCTCGGCATAAGAGAGGAAGAAAGTGTCTCAGCCACTGGGCTGACCTGGAGCACAGCACAATTTGACCCCTCCCCCCCCCCAAAAAAAAAAGCAAGAAGCACTTGGTCATCGGGAAGTGAGAGTGGAGGCTGGAGAGATGGGTCAGTTGGCAAAGCATTCCCTGTACAAGCACAAGGACCCAAGTTCAGCTCCCAGAACTGACAGAAAAAGCTGGTCGTGATAGCTTGAGCTTGTCATCCTAACACTGAGGGGAAGTGGGGAGCAGGTGGATCTTGGGAGCTCACTGGAGTCAGTGAGCTAATCAGAGAGTTCCAGGCCAAGTGAGAGAGCTGTTCTGAAAAAAAAAAAAAAAACCAAAACCAAAACCAAGAGGACAGTTACACACACACACACACACACACACACACACACACACACACACACACACGTTTAAACACATATGCATGAATACCATAACAAGCAAACAGCTGAAGAGCAGGACACCCGCAGGGTACTGGTGGTGGTGGTGGTGGTGGTGGTGGTGGTGGTGGTGGCACACGCCTTAAATCCCAGTGCTTGGGAGGCAGAGGCAGGTGACTATCTGAGTTCAAGGCCAGCCTGGTCTACAGAGAGAGTTCCATGACACCCAGGGATATGCAGAGAAATCTTATCTTGAAAAACAAAAACAAAACAAACAAATAAAACTAAGAGTAGAACCCCACCCCACCTCCAGGCATGCACAAAGCCCTGGGCTCAATCACAGTATTGCAAGGGAAAAAATGACATCGGGTGTGAGGATACCCACCTACAGTATATCAGCACTTGGGAGGTAAAGGCTGGAGAATTGCGCATTCCATTTAAACCAGTCTGGTATATAGTTAAGACACTTTTGAAAAGAAGAAGAGGAGGACTGTGAGGAAGAGGAGGGAGGAAAGAAAAAGGAAGAGGATGAAGAAGAAGAAGAAGAGGAAAGGGGAAAGAACAGAGTAGCACCTAACTAACAGAAGTTTGGGGGTGAGCAGGGCTAAAGCCGCAGCTTCAAGGACTAAAAGCTGCAGGAAGTTATTTAGGACCTTTCATTCACTATAATTAGGTGAAACAGGCTGATGCAATCTGTCCATTTTTAGATAGGTTTGAAAATTTCCCATTATAATACAAAGTTTAAAATAAAACTAGTGAAGGCAAAATAAAAATGATAAAAATAAAAAGCCAACCTGGCCATGAAATACATAGTACAGGCCATAGAATCATGCTGGGTTGAGTCAAGCCCCTCCACTCTAGGTTCGTGTCCACCTAGAGCGTGTGAATGTGGCCTCATTTGGCAATAGAATCTTTACAGACAGAAAGCAGAGTCAAGCCACAGCCTCCCCCACCGCAGAAAGGGTTGTGATGAATTATTAGATGTGTAGACGTGTTAAGTTAGAGGTTTACTATGCCCACCTCAAAGCTGGAGATACGATGCACAGGAAACAGAGAAAAATGGAGTGCCTTTGAGCCATCCAGGGAGAGTGTTAAATCAGAGGATCTGGGGCAAGTTTGACAGGTACAGAAAGACACTTGAAAGAGAGCTCAGGACTGAAAACACAGGTCTCTCAGAGGCAGCCACCTAGAGGAAGTGACTGATGGAGACAAAATCTGCCAGAAAGTAAATATGGGGGGTGGGGCTGAAGACAAGGTTTTCTTTAAGAAATGGATGCAAAGTGTGAATGCTAACATTCATGGCCAGCTTTTGCTGAGAGCTGCTGGCAGCAATGGCTTTGCCAGAGGCTGTTGGAGTATACAGCAGGTGACAACTAGTGTTCAACAGATCAACACACCAGACGAATAACTCTCTGATGGGAAGCCCCACTGGCAAGGACTGTGGGGTCACTGAATGTAAATGACCAGTTTACATTCCTGTTTGTAATTTATCTCATGTGCCACTACATTTCTTCCCTAAGAACTGCTATGGGTGTTTTCCCACTGCTTGTATGTTTAGCTTATGTATGTATTCCATCTATTGAGCACACATATAGCTGTGGATGGTCAGGAAGATGATTTTCTGCTTACGCTGTATAATTCTGATGACTAGAAATACTACTAGAATATTTTTCATAACTGACATAGGAAAGTAACAGTATTCTCAGTCACAAAGACAGCTAATGTTAGACTTCAGAACAAATTCAAAACAGACTAGCTGCCCCTGCAGAGAATACACAAGGACAAATTCCCAGGTGTTTGCTGCTGAATCAAGGTCAGACTAGAAGCAACTTTGGTAGAAATAACTCTCTGCAGTAATTGACTTTCTGCATGTAATTCCAGCCTCAGTTTATGTTATGAGACTCAGGTTCAGCCAACTAACTATTATTAAGTCTGAATGTTATTAATGTCATTTTCTGTCTGGGAAAGAGCTATGTACACAGTCAAGTATTACTCACTGGCCAGTCAATGTGACCTCCCTAGTCTGAGAAAAACTGTGTGATTTATCATGTGTTATGAGAATGGGTCAGACCCTGAAAATGTAGCACATAATTGTCCAGAGTTTGGCTGTTTGCTGCATGCTGCAGGAAAACATAATGGAATTCAGCTACTATCACAAAAGCTACTACTTGGAAAAGTCAAGGACTTAAGCCATGGCTTAAGAAGTCTTGGTGATATTTTAGCTTTCATATATATATAATATATTATATATATATATATTTACATATATTAGCTGGTTCCTAAAATGATTTTCTTGCATGCTTCCAAGAACTCCTAACAGTGTTTTTATCTAAAATGCCTATCAAGCATCCAAGGCCATACGAAACAACACCTGTCTCCTAGGTCAGGCGAATAGCTTTATTTCTTGTGCAATTTAGGGTGAGACCCTCCTTTCTTATACAACCTTACTAATAGACCCCTAACTTCTTACCTAACTACTGCTAGGAATGCAGACTGAGCACACAGATCCCTTTTTGATATACTACCAAGTCATTAGCACTCAGCTGACCTCCTCTTTCACCTCTCCCATTTTGGGTTGTAAAAGAAATCCTGACAATCACTACCTGAGGAAAATTCTTACCTGCCTTTATGACCCCATAGAATTCAAGCCTGGTGACCTTGCTAGGCCAGAGATTTTCTATTGCTTGGGTTTATAACTGGATTCCTGAGAAACTCAGGGAGAGCTGAGAGAATAAGGATACGGAGAAGAGAAAAGAGAATAGAAGAATAGATAAGTAAGAACTGGAGAGGAACAAACTGAGACGGGGAAGAACTAGATTGAAGGACGAGAAGAGAGGACTAGAGGAACGAGATGGAAGATGAGGAAGAGCCAGATGGAGAAGAACAAGATGAAGAAGAACAAGATGAGAAAGGAGGAGATGGGAGAGGAGCTGAGATGGGAAAGAACTAGATAGATGAGAACCTAGATGGGACAGAACTAAGATGAGAGAATTAAGATAGAACCTAGAGGGACAGCAGATTAATGTAGGGAGAAATCAATCAAGAAAGGAGGTAGGCATGAGAGCAGAATAGAAACTATGTAGAGAAAAAACTGACACAGAATAATAAAGTGTAAGGACTAAGGAGTTTTGTGTACATAGATTCATTTCTTTTTATCAAAGATTAATTATCAGCTGGTTGCAGATTCTTCCTGGACCCTGGGAGGGGACTATAGAGGGGCTGGACCCCCATAGTCTCTGATAGCTGTTGAAAAGTGAACGAGTATGTGAGTGTGGGTGTGGGTGTGCAGAGAGAGATGGGGAGAGAGGATGAGTAGCTAGGCAGGAGAGAGATCAAGAGAGATTTTCAGAGAGGATTTTACTTCATCAAGATGAAGTAAAAGAGAAAGTTGCCATTAGAAAGTGTGTGTTTCCTTATTTACCCCTGAGATAGAAAAAGATAGCCCTCACTGCATTTGTTTTTTTTTTGTTGTTGTTGTTTTTGTTTTGTTTTGGGTTTTTTTGTTTTGTTTTGCATAACCTGGTGCCACCTGGAGGCTGGCCCTCCAGTCCCAGTTAGTGATAAACTTTGGTGCCCTTTCCTCTAGAAGGAACTTTCTGGGTTCCCAGCTGCCCTTGACTAGTGACTGGGCTGGACTCTCACCTCTGCAAGGTGCTAGCCCTCTTGCTTCCTTGGCCACAGCTCTGCATTTCTCCTCTGGGGCAAGAGTGTATGGTAGTTTGAATGTAATTGGCCCCCATATTCTCACAGAGAGTGGCACTATTAGGAGGTGTGGCCTTGTTGAAGTAGGTGTGGCCTTATTGGAGGAAGTGTGTCACTGTGGGGGTGGGCTTTGAGGTCTCCTAGGCTCAAGACACCACGCAGTGTCACAGTCCATTTTCTGTTGCCCTCTGATCAAGATGTAGCCAGCACCATGTCTGCCTGCATGCTGCCATGTTCCCTGCCATGATGATAATGGACTGAACCTCTGAAACTGTAAGCCACCATCTCAATTAAATGTTCTCCTTATAAAAGTTGCTATGGTCACGGTGTCTCTTCACAGCAATAGAAACCCTAACTAAAAGAGTATCCTGCCACCACTGAGCCCCATCACCGAGTACATGGCAGGTTCATTGTTTGCTAAATGAAAGAGGACCACTAAGCAAGGGAAAAAATGTGGAAGGAAAGCTAGGAGAATGCTATGTGCTAGAAAATGAAGGGAGACAGATGATAGCAGCGACCAGGAAAAGGCAGAATGAAATCCAAGGAGGAAAAAAACAAAAACAAAAAAAACAAAAAAAAAAAAAACCCAAGAAATGCATCATTGGCCAAAAGGTGGAGCATGAGCATCAATCACAAGGCAAAACAGCAGCCTTGGGGGAGATCATCCACATGTGAAAAGTGAC